GAGAGACATGGCCTGGCAGCAGCTGGTGCCTCAAACCTCAGCCAAAGAAAGGGGCAGTTGGGCACAGCAGGACCAGATGTCTAGGTGCATCTGAGCAGTGGCTAATGCAATGCGCAGATCGGTGAGTCAAAGGTGACTGGATCTGCAAGAAGGAAAGCGCTCCAGCCAGGATATCAGGACATCAGGTAGAAGAGACTCCCCACCTGAACCTTGTGAGCATGACTGAGGGAGCTCCTGCAGCTGGAGATCAGTGTGCCAGGCTGGAAGAGGGTCTTGCTGACTCAATCCCAAGGCAGAGAAAATATCATCCCCAAATCATAAGCAAAGGGTCTGCTTGGGAAGGAAACTTCTCATGCCCAATACCTGCCTGGTTCATTTGGAACCAGGGAAGTTACAGAAAACACTCCCTCTCCAAGGTGACACAAGACTGGGGAGAGTCCATGTGAATGGTGCTCTAGAGTTGCATACGCCGCCAGTACGGGGACTGACCTGGACAATAAGTGACTTAAAACAAACAGAGGCAAGAGCCCTGCCAGGTCAACTTACCATGCAGACCCATCCCCTGCACCCCAGGGTGGGGGCAGGTGGCAAAGCAGAGCTTCTGCATCCCAAGGATGCTGGGACTGATCCCCGAGGAGCCCCTTTGATCTCACTTGGCCTGCGGCTGCAGGAACAGGCACAGGCATAAGGCTCAGGGACACGGCAAGTCATTTTAGGGAGATAAAACTCTTGTGTTAAGTCCACCAAGGCATCATCACGGAGCACACGACCTGATGGGGCTTTGTAGCCAAGACATCAGTCCATGCAGGTCCCAAACCTCTCACTGGAACAGCACGGCTGAATGACTGACTGAAAAGGATGGGCAAAATGGGCTCTTACTGTGCTGGAACCCACTGCCCCGACCCCCACCGGATGCCTGAGGAAGCCCCAGGGCTTGCAGTGATGCCCCCAGAGCTACTCCCAGCAACTGGATGTGCTCCTGCAAAAGGCCGGACGTGCGCCAAAGTGCACTGGGTGGCTGGCTACAGTAGAGCAGAGTGATTGTCTTGGATGCCAGAGAGGGGAGCTGGGGCAGCTCAGGGGTTGTGGGGGGGAATATGCTCCTTCCATTCCCCTCTGTAACTGAGTCGTCCCACCCTGTACTAGCCCAGGCTGCCTTGCTGTCTTCATGCTCCTATATGGAGGAAATGCAGTGAGCGGGTCATGTCTGGGCCTTGGGAACAGCAGTACAGGGAAAGGAGGGCCTGTCAGCTCAAGCAGGGCCATAAGCCAGCGTTTGCCACTTGCACCCCTCCGCTTCGATTTCTGCTCCACCCAAGTTAAAACCCAACTGCCTGCAGTGGCCGCAGTGTTTCTGTTCAGGCGGCAGCTAGGGAGTCAACTGAATCCATGGCTCATTAAAATCTACCTGATCCCTTCATTCTACAGGCGTTAACGACCCTCTCTCCTGTTTAATGGTCTTGATGTTCCACTAACCAAGCCAGTCTTTTGTTCTGCAATTCTGCTGTCTGCTGCTTCTGGAAACATAGCTCCTATTTCACAGCTCTGTGGACTGTTTTGACTCATTCCAGTCGTTCCAATGTATTAGTAAAGCTTCTGGTTACTTTTGACCTGGATAAAAATATGTGCTGTGTTATTGGGGAGGGGGGGATACACCCCTGCTTCTCCAAATCCTGGATCCATCCATGCCCAGTCAGGTGGTCTTCAACTGGCCCAGCCCAGCAGGGGCATGGAGGGGGTCTGTGTGAGCTTGTGAGCAGATGGCAGGTGGCCAGGTGCTTGGGCAGGGGCAGGGGCAGGGGCAGGCTCCCCCCGGATCTCCCAATTCAAAGTTCACCCAGGAAACCTCCTTTCTCCTTTGCAGGCAGGAGTTTGACAGTGAACGCAGCCCCGACCTCAACAAGGATGTGTATCTGCAGGACATCCACTGTGTCAGCTCCCTGTGCAAGGCTTACTTCCGGGAGCTGCCTAACCCCCTCCTCACCTACCAGCTCTACGACAAATTTGCGGTGAGCGTGCCAGCCCCTGGGAGTGTGCCATACAGCATTGCCTGGCCGGAGCTGCTGTGTCCACCACAGAGCTACAGGCACTGGGGTGTTGCTGTGACTTTGCAAGGCGGGCAGGTTGCTGGATCCCAAGGCAATCACTGCCTTTGCTGAAGCCAAGAGGCAGAAAGATAAATCTAGCCCCTTTCATAGTAAAAATGGATGGGGTGAGCCAGGGTCTTGCCCTAGGAGGATAGCCTGAGCCCTGCTGGGGTTGCTTTCCAAGCCTAGGACATTCATGGTACACTGTGTGCTAGGGACAGAGACGCTGGGTGATGGGGTTGGGAGAAGGCAGCAGAGAGAGAGCTTCCTTGGCATGCAGCTCAGTGGAGAGACAGAGCTGGGCATTTCTGGGTGCTGCTCACTCCTATCCCAGCCCTGCTCCCAGCAGGAACAACCCAGCATGGCCCCAACCGTGGGAAGGGCTCAGGCCAGAACGTGCATCTGCTCCCACACATCAAAGGTCTTGAACCACCTGTGTCTCCTCTGTGGGGGAAATCAGATCAGAGATGCTCCTGACAAGCTGACCTGGGTCTGGGTTGCTAAGGTCAGCCCATCACGGCCAAGGACCTGCTTTGCCAGAGGGCACTGAAGGGGGCTGGCACCTGTTTCAGGCCCACTCCCTCTTCCAGTTACCGACTCCAGGCTCCCGACCTGGAAAGTGAAAGAGGGGAGAGCCAGAAGTGAAAGAGCTGGTAGGCAGAGACAAGTACAGACAGGGCTTGCTCAGCATTGATGACAGCAATGCGTGAAAGCCCCAGAATCCTCTTGGCTTTACTAACTCCTGGCTTTTACAGATAGATCCAGAGCCTCTCCTCCCAGAACGGCTGTAGATCCCTTCTGTCCAGCAGTTTAATGGTTAATGCACTCACCGGGGATGTGGGAAAGAGGGTTCAAATCCCTCCTTTGGCAGAGGGGATTTGAATCAGCCTCTCCCATGTGCCAGGGAGGTCTTTCCCCTCTTGCAGGAGCCTGGCACACATGCTCCAGAGCCTGGAGTTGGAGGGGCAGGGAAGGAGGCTTGTGCTGCCCCTCTTGACAACACGATGCTCCATCCTGGCACAAGCATGGGCTGTGCCAGGCCTGGGGAGCCTCCAGCAGCAGCATGAGGCACCAGCGCCAGGGCTGCTTCTCCAGGGCTGACTCTGGTCCCACCATTTCTGGCTGCCCTGTGGACTCCCAGCAGGTTCCAAGATCACGTGGAGGGTGGGGGGTTGCAGGCAAACACAGCGAAAGCTGCAGCAGGCTGGGGGTGCTATGGGCAGGTCCGGGCCACAATCACTGCACAGAAGAGCGGGGAGTCTAAGCTCAGAAAGTCCAGCAGGCTTGGGTAGGCCGTGAGGCAGGGGGAGGCCAACAACAAGCAGAAAGACCCAGGCTCCAGGGTCTCAGGCCAGGTACAGATGGGTCAAGAGCATCATGGTGGTCTCAGGCTGTGTCCTGGGCTCACTCGGTGGCTCTGTCCCACCCCAACCCCCAGCTGCACTGTCAGGGGGTGGAGGAGGTGGGCACATGATATGGACAGTCCCAGTTCTGACCCCGCTCTTCTCCCCCATCCCCGGTGCAGGATGCAGTGGCCATTCAGATGGAGGAGGGACGGCTGGTGAAGATCAAGGAGGTTCTTAAGGAGATGCCTTCGCCACACTACAGGTACCCAGCACTGTGCCCAGGTCTGGCCAGGCTGAAGCCAGTGGAGGGTGGCCCCAGCCTTGGGTCAAGGGACAGCTATCTAGTCCAAAGCACTCAGCTCTCCTCTTCCCAGTGTGGGTACATGTCTGGGCTGTGAGGTACTGGTGGGGCATTGATAGCATGTGCTGCCCCTAGTCAGGACCTACAGTGTGCAATGGGGGTACAGCTGGGCCAAGTCACAAACTTGGAGCACCCCCCCACCCCCCATCAGATCCCATATGGGAGGCGTGGCTGCCCCCTGCCAGGATGCCCCGGGGCACCCTAATTCTCTCACGGGCCCTGCCCCAGGGTGACTGGGTAAAGCTGGACAGAGTACCCCCTCAAAAGCTGCTCACAGTGCAAGTCGCAGCCTCAGCAGCGCACGGACATTTGGGCATTGGCCTCCGGGGTGATGTTCAGAACAACTCAGAGCCTTTGGTGGAGTCCCAGGAGGAGTCGGGCTGGCAGGGCCCTGCAGGTTCCCTCTAGTCCCACCCCTGCCTGAGGCAGGGACATCCCTGTCCCAACCATCATAGACATGCCCTTGTCTAACGCATTCCTAAAACTACACAATCAGTGCTGTCACACAGTCACGAGGCCCGTTGTCTACAGACACCAAGAACCTCCTCACCTGCCGTAGGTAACACAAGGGGAACCACAACAGCCAGTGTCTTGTCCAACAGAACAAGGAGCAATTGTCTCCACTTGCAGCAAGGGAAGCTCAGGTTAGATATTAGGAAAACTTTCTCACAAGGAGGGTAGTAAAACACTGGAACAGGTTACCCAGAGAGAGGGTGTAGCCTTCATTCTTGGAGGTTTTTAAGACCCAGCTAGACAAAACTTTAGCTGAAATGATCTAGTTGGGGTTGGTCTGGCTTTGAGCAGGGGGTTGGATTAGATGTGACCTCCTGAGGTCTCTTCCGACCCTCATTTTTCTAGGATTCTAGGATTCTTGTTGCTGCAAAGTGTGTTTGATCAAGAGGTCCCAGGTAGAGACTGTGCCCCTGCTATAGAAGAAGGCAACCCCTCTCTCCCCCCAACCTGTACCAATCTGACCAGGGGGAAAATTCCTTCTTGGGACTTTGAAAAGGGGGGTGCAGATGTCAAGGTGTGCCATCATCACGTATAGCACAACACATTTTTCTCCAGTTAAAAAAAAACCTAGAAGCTTTACTAATAGGCTAGGGGGCTGGCGTTGTGTCGGCTTCAGATCTAAGCAAAAACAAACATAACTGTTGGGATGGGCACTAATTTGCTAGATCATATATTAAGTTAAAAAAAACCCACAACAAACGAGGCCAAAAATAGTCAAAAGATATTGTCATTAGTCCTGTACTCATTATAGTTAAGTGTATGTCTCATTCTCACCTTCTTGAGCGTCTTACCAGTGCCTCCAATACTTCACTGTCAGTCGTTTCTGAGTTAATCTGACCACAGCTGAGTTAAGGGTTTTAGCTAAAGCTAAAAACAGTCTATGGGGTTCTGAAATAGAAGAGAGACATGTCCAGGACTGGCTGACAGACAGCAGAATTACAGAAGAAAGGATAGCTTGAATAGTGGAACATCAAAACCACTACAAAGGAGAGAGGGTCTTTAAGACCTGTGGAGTGGAGAGATTAGCAGGAATCATGGAGATGACAATGAGCCATGAAGTCAGGTGACTCTCTCAGCACTGCCTGAATAGAAATGCCGCTGCTCTCCCAGGCAGTTGGTTTTAAAGTTTGGGTGGAGCAGGGATCAAAGCGGGGTGCAATTGCACCACTGCACCCCCTGGATCTGCCCCTGGCCACAGTCATGTCAAGGAGGAAGCCACCCAATCCACCCTCCAGCTCAGCCATCCACCACCCTCTGGGTCCCCTCCTAGCCCAATGCTGGCTGTTTTCTGTACAGTGAAGGGTCACGGGAACTGTGCACCCAGGTTTGTCCTACAGCTCACGTACCCCACCTCCTGCTTCTGTGGTATCTCTCTCCCCACCAGCATGGAGTTGGCAGCCGGACATGGCAGGAGGTGTCCTGACAGCCGGGGGTGGGGACAGGGCCTCAACCTCCCCAGGTCTGCAGGTACCTGTGGGCAGCGGTCTCTAGGGATGCAATCTGCATAGCATTGGCCTCTGCGCCTTGCAGCGCTGGGCACTGTGCAGAGGCAAGAAGGAGCCTGTGCTGTCAGAAGCTGCAGCTCCCTCAAAAGTCCCTGGCCTGGAGCCAAAAGTCCCAGTTGAAGGGGAACTTCCACACACAGCCACAGAGCAACGTCAGTATTGCGGGAACCAGGCGCGGGATTCCCAGGGGCACCGAGGCCAAGAAGTTTACCCCGGAGACAGAGGCCGTGGTGGGGGACGTGGGTCGGACCTGACCAGGCAGGGCCCTGTGGCCCCCTCCCAGCCCAGTGTGGCTCCCTGAATGTCCCTGGTGCCTTCATACACTCCCCCCATCTCCTGCAGGACCCTGGAGTTTCTGATGAAGCACCTGGTCCACATGGCCTCCTTCAGTGCCCAGACCAACATGCACGCCAGGAACCTGGCCATCGTCTGGGCCCCCAACCTGCTCAGGTGAGAGAGGTTCACTTGGCTGGGATGAACAATGGGGGCATCTGCAGGCCAGTGGGGGCATTTCCCATGGTGGTGGGTGGTGAAGGGACCTTGGCAGTGGGGACGGGCTGGCTGGGTGCCCATGGGTGCTGTGTCCTGCTTAAGGAGACTGATAACTGGGGAATGGGTGCAGATGGGGGACCAGGGAGGTGAGGTGGGGACGGGGAAGGACAGAGGGCAAGAGCAGTGGGCAGGGCAAACTGTGCTTATCCAAACCAGCCCAACCCTGAGCAGTGGGACACTTGTTCCTGATTCTCTCTGAATCCCCCTGTCCCCATGCTGCTGTCTCTGGCTCTGGGGACCCCTGCACCAGACCTGGGTGCAATGCCCCAATCTCCTGGCCTTGCTTAGCTTGTGGGTGCCAGGCAGTGGCTGTGTCCAGCCAGCCTGGAGCAGCCAGGCCTTCCTGCAGCTGCCCTGCCCTCCCTGCCACCTGTCCCTGTTCCCACCAGGTCCAAGGACATCGAGGCCTCTGGGTTCAATGGCACAGCTGCCTTCATGGAGGTGCGGGTCCAATCCATCGTGGTGGAGTTCATCCTTACCCATGTGGAGCAGCTCTTTGGAGACGCCCCCCTCTGCAGTGAGTCCTGCCAGGCCTGGTCCCTTGCCTGGGTGCTGAGCCCATGGAGTGCCCAGCCCAGGTCCCTGTACACCTGGGTATGATGCCAGGCCATCTCAGAGGGCATAGCCCCAGCGCTCCTGGCCGAGGCATCGTGCCATCACCTAGCGGCAGGACCCCATCCTCCCCTTGGTCCTGGTCAAAGGAGAGGACCACAGCAGGTCCCTCCTGGTCTTAGCAGAGAAGATTCCCTGAATAGGGTAGAGGGGGGCTGAAGGCTGAGCCCGTGCAGCCTGACAGAGAGAAGTGGCCTGGGCTGGGCTGAGTTGGGATCCTAGTGGAGCCAGCAGCTCAGGGGTGCTGCATCCAGGCCTAGCACCAAACATCACAGCTCCTGTGATACACAAATGCCCAGCCAGGCATGGGCAGAGGGTATGGCCCATGCACAAACACCCTTCATGCTGGCCCTAGCCAGCTGAGGGGTACCAAGAGCATTGGCTGGTGGGTTCGGGCCTGCCATGAGCTGTGGCTGCTGTGGCTGTCCATGAACCAGTTGCAGCCATGGGCTCACAGAGGCAGAGGCTCCCATGTGAGGCTCTGAAAGTCCCTGGGTGCTGATGATCCACCCGGGTGTGGGTGCTGGAAGAGAACAGCCCCCAGGTGCAGGGGATGAAGGTAGCCCGCCATGGGCTGTGTGGGACACCTTTCCAGGATGTCACTGGGCTGAGGAGCAGTGCTTGTGTGCCAGCAGTGACCTAGGTGCTGAGCTTGGAGGGGAGGGAAGCCTTCTCTGCAGGGACAAGTGGTGGAAGAAGAGGCCTTGGGGCCCAGAGAGAGAGAGATCCAAAGGGCAGCACTGATTTCTCCAGGGCTGGGGCTGGACTCTACTCTCCTCTGGCCAGTGGGGACCATGCCCCCCCAGGACCACCCCTTGTCTCCTGCAGCAGAGAGGGGCTGGACAGCTGCTTTTGCTGAGTGGGAGGTGGGTGCTGGCTCTGCCTGCCGGCTCCAGCCAGGTCTGGGGGAGCCCCAGGTCCCCAGTGGTGGTCGCTAGCACAAAGGTCTCATTAATCCAGCACTGAGACATTCTGCCCCATCTTTTCCCCTGCAGGAAACGACCGCAACAGCCTCAGGAAGTCCCTGCTCCTATCAGGTCCCCTTCCTGATGGCCAGAGCTTCCCCTACAATATGCCCACCACCCTGCACCCGGGGGACGGCCCCCCACAGATGCGCCCCTACCACACTATCATCGAGCTTAACGAGCACAAGTACGTACCCTTGCACCCACCTCCCCACTCTCCATTGAGGCCTCCCCAGCCACCTGGCTCCTGCCCACAGACATGGGTGCCCCAGACTCCATCCCAGACCTGCCTCCACAGAAGAGGAGTAGCGCAGGTGCTAGAGCCAGGCATGGCACCAGAGGCCCTCTGCTTCTGCAGACAGTCTGTGCCCTTGCCCCAGGTTCCCCAGGGCTGTGATGGCTTCCCTGGTCCAGCCTGGGGCAACCTCGCCACAGGCTGGCCCCTTGAATAGAGCCAGGGCTGGGGCCTGCTGGGCCAGTGACGGGGACCTGCCCAGAGAGCTCACACATGCGTGGGATTGGCAAGGTGCTCAGGAGGCCAGTGAGTCCAGCCCCCTGCTCCAGGCAGGTCTAGCCCAGGCAAGTGTCTCTCTACCCTGTGTTTCCATGGTGGGGATTCCTTGACCTCCCCAGGGCTCTGCTCCAGGCCTGGCCAGCTGCAGGGGTAGATGGTTCATCTTTATTTAAACCTCGCTTGGTGAAAGGTCAGCACATTGCCTCTTGTCCAGGCGCCATCCTTTTTATAACCACCCTCCAGGGATGGAAAGGCTGTCATTAAAACCTCCCTCAGTTGTACAGCCATGGAAAAGTTGGGCTGGCGTTGGCAGGGCCGCCATCCCGCTGCTCCACCCAAGGCAGGTGAGAGTGCACTCAGGGTTTTGGAGCATTGGACCATTTGTGTTAGGGTTGGACCAGGGGTGTCAAACTTAGGGCCAGCAAAACTGTGTCATGGGGCCCAGAGGTGCCAGTGAGCAGGGGGAAGGGCCGTCTGGCAAAATCCAGGGGGCGGAGCTGTTGGAGTGGGTTGTGTTGGTGGTGCGGGCATGTGATGGCTGTGTTAAGTCCCGTGGCTACTGCCACTGTTCTCCCATCCCTCACTGCATCTGGGTCTGGGTGAGCTGGACCCCACCCCCCAGGTTAGACCAACACATGTCTGGGCTGGTTCACACAGAGCGGCTCCTGCCTTTCGCAGGAGCTGGACTAGAGTTGGCTGCCTGAGGGCCTTGCCAACCCGGCCCAGCTGTGATGTGGTTCTGCGACAAGTTCCCAGGCCACTGTGACATATCCCTGCCTATGGGGTGCAGCAGACCTCACACGTCTGCAAGCCCATGCACAGCCACGCACAGAACAGTGCCCACATGAGCTGTTCTGGTGCACAGCGCTACACAGAGTGCAATGCTGCATGGGCACATGCACATGTGCACACACACAGTCCAGGATAGCCCTTCTGACTTATCCCTGTGCCCTGTGGTGGTGGTGTCTGGCCAAGCTAGAAAGGCATGGGCCTGCCAGGCAGGGACTTTCTAAACTCTCTGATTCTCCTTAGAAGAAAAGGCTCCTTGAAGGCCAAGAAATGGAGGTCAATCTTCAACCTGGGCAGATCCAGCAATGACTCCAAGCGCAAGATGACCAAAGCAGAGGATAAAGGTGCAGGGATGGGACCAGAGGGAGGGGAGCAGAGAGCAAGTGCTCTTGGCAGCATCCCTGCCCTTCTCCCTGTTTGCCACATGTTTTATGGGCAGCTTCAGGCTTTCTGTTAGGCCCTCTGACCTTTGCCATCATGGGCACAGCTGGTCAGGGCTCAGTGTCTCCATATCAGAGCCTCCCACTGCTCAGATCAGTGCAAGGAGTTGAAATGTAGGCACTTTCCCAGACATAGTGGACATGAAGTGCCCATTCTGATGTAGCAGGACTCTGGGAGGGGAGAGGAGAGCTGGAGGGCTTTGCTGTGACATACACGGCGTGCCCCATCAGGCCACACTGTCCTGCACAGTATTGCACCACCCCATGCTAGACCATCTCATACCACCCCAGGTCGTCCCATGCTGTACAGTTCAGTTTGTTTCTTGTTCCACCAGAGCATGTTGCTCTCTCTGTGTCCGTGTTTCCCAGAGGAAACAGTTCTGCTGGGGAATCTTGGATCCCTTGGGATCATGACTGTCACCAGTAGAGGCAGAACAAGTCCTTGTGCAAACTGCAACTAGGCAAATTGTGCACCCAGCCCTGGGGATCCGGTACCCGAACTCCAGGCCTTTTGATTACACCCCCAGGGGTATAAAGGAGCTGTAGCCAAATGTAGATGTAATCCATGGGCACTGACCACTTGGGCAGGAAACCTCCTTAGGGTTGGCCACCACAGAGAAATGGAGCTATGTTACTCATTCACCCTGATGTCCGTGCCAACAGCATGCCCTGGGGGCATGGGGCTCTGCTGGGAGGAAGAGGTGGCGGTCTCATTCCTCCTGGTCTTGCAGTCCCCACATCCAATGAGTTTGTGCACAGACTCCTCCAGTTCCACCTTATGGGGACTTAGGTTTCCAGGGGCTCCTGTCACACATCTTGGTTGGAAACCCCCTCCTACTCCCCAGCCTGCATTGACTCCTGGCCAGGTGAGACTCATCTGCCAGGTCAGACCCATTTCTTCTTGTACCCACCTTGTCCTTCACTTTCTAGGCTCTTTCACCTCCTGGTGTTTTAGCTCCAGCCCAGAGGTATGAAAGGGTTTGGGCTGCAGCTGGCATGCCCACCTTGGGGCTGCTGCCCAGGCCAGCAGTCAGGCCAAGCCCAGGAAGAGGTGAATCTAACTCCTCACCCAGTATGTGCAGCAAGGAGCAGGCCCCAACCAGCTGCCCCTCCCATCATGGCCCCTTTCCCTCCCTCTGAGCAGCTGGAGAGGTTCCTGCCTGTGCCTGGCCCCTTGGGCAGCAGCCAGACCATGCTGGTACCCAGCTAGCACATGGTCATGGGAACCTGCTCAGCAGCACTCAGGGAAGAACTTGCCCTCCTGGCCACTGTACCTAACAGAGCATCTCCTCTAGCCCCCAGCAGTATGGGGGCTAAGACACATCTCCAGCACTCAGGAGTACAGGAGCTAGGACACACATCTCCTGCAGCCCCCAGCAGTACAGGGGCTTGGACACACATCTCCAGACCCCAGAAGTACAGGGGCTGGGACATACAACTCCAACCCTCAGCAGTATGGGGACTAGGGGACACAGTTCTGATTCCCTCCACTTGGGAATGGATGAAACCTGCTCCCTCGCCAGCTTCCTATAGTTTGGTGGTCTCCCAGTCCCCCAGGCCTTGCCCTAGACTCAGATGAAAGGGAAGGAAGAATTTGATTCTTCCACCTCAATCCACACCCTGGCAGCAGTGACCAGCGACCCCATCTGACAGCGACACACAGGGAATTGCAGGAAGGCCTCAGAGCCATCCGGAGGCCTGTGTGTCCAAAGCCATCATGACCATTGGTGTGGCTTGGCCCCACGGTGGAGCAGGCTCAGCGTGGTCAATGCCAAAGGTCCGGCCTTAAATCCTGAGCCCTTAAACCCAGCCTATTAGGCACAGACTCTGGCTGGGCTGTGAGCACTTCTGGGGCTGGGGTTTGGCCTTTCTTCCATGTGCTGCAGGAGCTAGAGCTGCCTGGGCAGTGCCGAACACTGTGACATCGTGGTAGGACCACTCAACCTGGTGATGCCATCTCAGCGGAGCAGCTCCCTGGGCCCGTGCCACTACCCTGGGGGCCTCGTCACTCCTGCCTTGTGCTCAATTTGTGGGGTTTTGTTTTGCAGACGATAAGTCTGGCAAGGTGTGCCTGCGACCAGCGAAGAGCATGGATTCCCTTAGCTCCGTGCCCTGCGCCAACGAGGGTAGGTGGACAGCTTGGGGAAGACATGCCATTTGCAGAGTCTTTCCCATGGGCAGGGGCCAGGGTCATTTGTGCAGCACCTCTCCTCGCTCCCCAGGGATTAGGGATGCCCCTGCCCGAGCCTAGCCTGGGTAGAGCGGAGGATCCAGCTGCTGCTGTGAGTGCCTACAAACCCTCTGGCTTCACCCAGGTGCAAGCCCCAGGCATGGCCATGCTGGAGCGTCTGGCTGGCTGCTAGCTGAGTGAACAAACCCCTGCCCAAGTCCCCCCCTCCTCACACGCCTCAAACACATCCTGCCTAGGCAGCGATAGGAGGCAGCACCCCTCCACCAGATCCATGACTGTACTTCTCTCTCTTATGGGGCAGCCTGGCTTGGCTTTTCATATGGCAGCTCTCTGGACGATGAGGCGGGGCAGCCGCACTCTCTACTGGGTCTCTTGCCTCCTTCCTTGGGGTTCTAGGGCTGTGGAGAGGGGCTAGGACTGGGTCCTGACCGTCTCCTGTTTTGGGTTCAGATGACACCCGGCTGGGCAGGAAGCGGTCACAGAAGCAGCCCCCCCAGCGCCGGGAGAGCTTTGACAGCCCGTCATCGCGGGAAGACAGCTTCTTGGAGTCGGAGGAGTTCCCCGAGGAGAGGCTCAAAGGCGAGGAGGGGCAGAAGATGGTGGAGTCCGAGGGGGAGGCCACAGCCAAGTCAGAGCCCACGACGCCCAAGCCGGGGCGGGCCTCGCTGGTGGGCCGCTCCCCAAAGGCCACGCGGAACCGGGCGGAGAAGTGCGCTGGGGTCCACATCTCCGGTCCCTTCTCCGTCACCGTGCCCTTCCACATCACCTCCAACCTCTCCCTGTCCCGGCTGACCCGGGGGCTGGAGTGCCCTGCCCTGAGCTACTGCAAGGAAGCCTCTGAGAGCCCTGCGGTGCCCGAGGGGGGAGCCAGCAAGAAGCAGGCTGCTGAAGCAGGGCCAGCAGCTGAGAGTGCCTGCAGCACAGAGGATGCCCTGGGTAAGTGGGTAGCATGGCCTGGGCCATGGTGCGGGCGTCATTCGTGCTACATTGGTGGGCACTACCCTGAGTGGGGGCGGTCTGTAGCACTCCCACAACACTGCAGCCAGGTGCACAGCCCTGCCTCTCCTCCCACCACACCCAAGAGCAGGGCAGGGAGGGCAGGGCACCCCCAGGGCTGTTTCACTGCCGTGGCTGGTGGTAGCAGACCTCCTGCCAGCTGCCACAGCGCAAACAGTGGCCCTCTCTGCTCATGTACCTCCTGGACCCCTGCCAGTGAGCAGTCAAGTGTGTGCTGCCTGTTCACTGGCTGCGTGGTCAGGCAGTGCACCCCTTTCAGCTTGTCCTGGGGCCCATTGCTCTCCCCTGCCCGAAGCAGGTGGAAGTGACCTGTTCCCTGCAACAAGGGGCTGCCCAGACCATGGAGGCACAGGATGGGATTCGCCTTAACTGGCAGTTATAGAGGAGGGCATGGCCTCTCCCTGGGATCTTTTGGTCATCTATTAACAACCCTTTAGAGAAGCAGAAGGTTGGCTCCCATGGTTCAACTGCTTTCCCTGGGGCAGTTTCGGGTGTGATGTCTTGTGTGGTGTCAGGATTGACAGCACTTTTATTTAGAGTTTAGATTGGGGTTTGTCTGGGATGGTTTGGACAGGGCTGATCCTGCCTCAGGCAGGGGTTGGACTAGGTCCCTTCCACCTCACTGCTCTGGGATTTATGATAATAAGCAGAAAGGGAAGGAAAGTAGGCTAAGCTGTCAAGTGAGAGACCCTGGCCTTGCAAAGATCCCTGGCTCGCCACCCCCACTCCTCCCTCCAATGCAACAGCCAGCAATGGGGGACTGTCTCACTCATGCATTCATCTAAAATTAATTTTTGATATTCTCAACACCAGGGAGCTTCAGCAATGTCAGCAACAGCTGCTGCAGCTGGGTTGAAAGGCAACAGACCCCCAACCCCCCAGCAGGTGAGACACCCCTTCTGCCATGCATGGCCTGTGGGAGCGGGGAGTGGGAGCAGTGGCCTTGGGGTAGGACCTAGCTGGGAGTGCTGCAGAGGCAGGACACGGCAGTTGTGAGCTCCTTGGTGGCATGCGGCTCTGTTGCTGGCTCTGCTGCCTTGTGGTGCCCCTGATTGTGCCCCAGCCCTGTGCAAGGTTCTTGAAGGGGGATTCTGGCCTGGGGACAGGGCCCTGCTCCTACCTTGCCTGTGGCTGGACTTTGCCCATGGGACGTGCCCCTCCCCACCCTATTACCCTGCAGTGGCTGGAAGCAAAGCACTGGCTGCGAGACATTCCCCTCGCCTTTTCTTGCTCACCGCCCTCTGCATTTGCCTTCAAAGCAGGAACCACGGCGGAAGGCCCCGATACGGAGGAGACCCGCATCTCCTTGGAGCTACGGGATTCCTTCTCATTCCTGGACAGCCAGGACGCTTGGCAGGATGATGGGGCTGAAGGCGACCCGCTACCAAGGAGCCGCCTGGGAGAGACTGGCCCCAGTCTGGCTAGGGGGATGATGGACGGTTTCTCAGCGATGGATGAGGACATGGAGAGCGGGTTCATGAATGTACGTTCTCGGCAGCGCTGAAACCCAGATGCTGATTTTTATCCTTGGCATCTGCTTGGATACAGTGACAGACAGACAGATAGAGGGGCTGTGTGGGGTTAAGCAGACAGGGAGGGAAGGAGTCAGCTTGATAGGTTGAGTGCATGGGGATGGATGGGTAAATGGATGGATGAAGGGAGGGAGGGTTAAACAGACACACACATACACATTTACTGTGGACGACATATGTGGGGTGAACTCCCCCAGGCCAGCTCAGCAAACCAAGCTCACTCAAGCAATTGGGCTCAGGCCCCCCATGCCAGCGAGGGATTTCACTGATATTGCTCCAGTCCCCAGGGTCTGCATTGTCCGTCCCCGCCGAGCAGCTCAGCCATGCTGCTGGCAGGTCCCATGGGGGAGTGAGTGAAAGAGCTGTGGGTCCCTGGCTGGCAGTGCCCAGCTCCTGGCCCCCAGGTAAACCCAGGCTCACAGCAGAGTCTCATGCCCCGGGTCCCCTTCCACATACCCTCAGCTGCCCAGGGAGCCTGGCTGCCACCATGGAGGAATTAACTCTCTGCCTGCTTTCCCCTGCCAGCCAGAGGAGTTTTCGGTGGAGCCACCCCCGAACTACTTCTCCATTGAGGAATGCATGAACGAGGAGGTGTACTACATGGCCTACAGCAGCTCAGAAAGCGAGGACCTCTACCGTGAGACAGACTCCGAGGACGCCTTCATGAGTGCCCATGATGACCTGAGTCCCTTAGCCAGTGAGCTGGAGAACCTCCGGGAGCCTGGTGGAGACCCAGCTCCGGGCACAGCTCTCCTGCAGAAGGGGCTGGAAGGAGACGCAACTCCAGAGCCCCTCTGCCAACAGCCCGTGAGCCTGGTGGAAGAAGCAGCTTCTGCTGGAGCCCCAAGTGGCTCCTCGTCCTCTGGCGAAGATGGCACAGCAGAGGCGCCTCTGCCAGGCAGCTTAGCCAAGCTGTGTCTGAGAGAGGAGGCCTCAGGGGACCCCTGTGTCCATCTGCAGCAGCCAGAGCTCAGTGCAGGCACCCCCCAAGAAGGCATGAAGGAGTGGGATGAAGAAGACCTGCTCCTTGAAAGTGACTGTTCTTTGCCCAGCGAAGGGCCAGGCTCACCTTGGGCTGAGGCCACCGCTGGCAGTGTCCCCTTAGCAAGGTGCGAGGGCATCTGGGAACAAAAGAGCAGAACAGGCTCCGAAGGAAAGGAACAGGGCTGGGGCCCAGTGGGTGCTGAGCCAATCCCACAGGTTTCTGGCGCATCTGTCCAGGAGGGCTCTGGTCACGCCAGAGAGAGGGAAGTGAGTGCTGGTCCCTCAGCAACATCCACTGGGCAGCTGCAGAGTGGGAAGGGCTGGGCTCAGCCTCACACTGGGGCTGCTCCAGCTGCCACACAGGGAACAGGTTTCACAGCTGGCCCTGACCCCTGGCCGGACACAGGCCCAGAGGCTGCCATGGCCCCTGCTCCCGAAGAGGGTCCTGACACAGCCCTTGTCCTTACTATGCACAGCTTTGAGAGCGCCACGGACCTTGTGGCTGAGAACGGCCATGAGACTCATCCCTTCTTTGAGAATCTCCCTGAAACCACTCTGTCTCCTGAGGACTCCCCCAGGGTCACCCCCTCACTGGGGTGCAGCTCTGCTGGTGCCCCGCAGGGACCTGAGCATCCCATGCCAGCAGCCCCCCTTGCAGCAGAACCCGGCTTACACATGGGGCTGCGCCCCGATGGCAGCGTCCTCATGAGGCTGACGGCCAGCACCATCCGTGTCCAGCAGGTGAAGTCTGTCCCGGTGGTGCCGCCCAAGCCCCAATTCGCCAAGATCCCTCCTGCCCTGAAGCCCAAGGTCCCACCAGGGGAATTTTCGACCTGGCCCCAGCCGACTATGCCGGAGAAGGGTGGGGAGCACTGGAGGGCCCCACCGCAGAGGCAGTCGCACCCCGTCAGCCTGGACACAAGTGGCGGGGGCCTGGGGGCCACAGATTTCAGCAAGGAATCATCCTTCCAGAAGCCGTCCAAGCTGGAGAAGCGCCACAGCAGCGCTGACAGCCCTGACCCGATCTCGGATGCCCTGCTCAGGCAGCGGCGAGCCAGCTGGCGGAGCGGCACCAGCATGTCCTTCGATGAGGCCGTGGCCCTGGCCAAGGAGAGGCACCTGGCCCAGGGCCCTGGGCAGAGGATCCAGACCTACTGCGGGGAGAACGTCCAAGAGGCGCCCAGCCCCACCAAACCAGAGAAGCTGTCCCCCATTCCCAAGCCGGCTCTGAGGGCCCTGGGACAGCGTCCCCTGCACACACTCAGCTGCACAGGGACCCCACTCTCCCCCGACAGCTCGGCTGTAGGAAAGCACCCATTCCAGGTCACCGGGCTCGACCCTGCCTGTGAATCCCGACCGCCGCTGAGCCCAGAACCAGCACCCTTTGCTCACGATCTTCCTCCCAGGAACAGGTTGAGCCTGCCCAGGCTGGGCCTGCGGCCTGTTGATGGGGAGGAGCCCACCGGCGCCATGCCCCAACAACGGCGGTCCCTGGCTCTGGAGGTCCGAGGCAGCCATGAGGCAACAGATTTCTGAGCATGTGGAGGGACCTGCACTGGCCGGTGGGCGGGCGACAGTGCTGGCACCCCAGCCCTCACTCACTGCCCTCTCAGCATCTGGGAAATGGCGTGTTTTGTCCATGGTGTGTGCTGCAGGAGAGGATCTCACCATCTGTACTAGCCTGGCTGCACTGCAGGGTTCACACGAGCCCCAACCAGCCCATGCTGGTACCCTCAGACACTTGGGCTTAACAAACTGCTCCTCCCTTTCTCCTCCATCAGGCTGAGATCCCCCTGCTTCACAGAGAAGTCCCCCAGCCTGTTTGGCCAGGGCACGAGCCAGCCCACTTGCAACGCGCTCTGAACTACTGAGCTAAAGGCTCTTGGCGCCACATCAGGGCAGGCTTTGCTATGAGTAACGTGCGGTTGCATTCTCAGGAGTGCCAAGTCTCCGCGCAGAAGCTGATGGGCGCTGCGGGGACTCTGCTCCGCAAGCGCTCTGAAGAGCGACAGCAGGTTGTCTGCAAATCCACAGGGTGCACTGTGGTGCGACCCACAGCAACCAGCCCCGCAGTCACAGTTGCTCAGGCCACCCAGACCTTGCAGCCATCTCCTCTCTTGCTTATAGGAAATTTGCTGGACGAGAAACAGCTCCCCTGATGGAGAACTCAGCTCCAAGACTTCCCCAGCGCCCACTCTGCCTGTTACCTCTTAGCTGCAGGCCGGGCCACAGGTTACTGCCCCCTCCATCCTCACAGCACATCCCGACCCCACCAGCAGGCACTCAGCATGGTGAATATTTGTTTGGGGGATCCAAGTGGAGGTGCTGAGATCGAGGCCTGGGAGACGGTGCCTGTTTCAAAGAATCCCCTGGCTCTGCTCCGCTGCCATCCTCACGGGCTCCAGTCTTGCCAAAAAGGCCAAGGAAGGAATGAGCCCAAGACAGACTCTGATGGGAAAGCACTGGGCTGGAAGGGAGGTGGGGTGGGCTGGAGGGGTGCACAGGCCTTGCCTACTGCTGGCCTCCTCAAACTAAAAGGGGCAGCAAGGGTTTGTTGCACAAACGGCTAGTTTCGTGCCCCTGGAGGCTTGTCCAATCCACCCCTAGGAGAGAGTCACACACAGGCTGGGTTCAATTTCAGATTTATTGTTTGCAAACAAGTTCAACAAGGGAGCTTAATTTACTCAAATCCGTGTCGACCCCAAACAGAGTCTGGGGTTCCTTTTTATAGCTAACATAAACAAAAGATTCTAACGTGTCGCGTAATTATTGGCAGCCCAAGTATTACGTCTTGCAACATATGTCTAGCAGTTACATGTTCTATGATGGTTTACATACATGTCTCATTTACATCTTAAATCTCCTCCCTGGGGCCGTCCTTAAGTCCATTTCGGTCATTCTTTGGTCAGGGTTTGAGTTCTTTACATCCGCATCTTTCCCTGTGCCTCTTCTCTTATCTCTCGTAAGGAGTTATTTATTGCATCTGTTCTTGGCTATGTCTGTAGAAGTCTAGTGCTACTCGTAAATCTATCATTGGCCTACATACCTTAGCAGAAGCAAGTGTGATAATATGCAGAAGCAATTATGTAGTGAAACTAAACAGTTCTCAGCTGTGAAGCCTTTGTGTAGGGAGATGAGACATTTTTTTACCACACAGCTGCTACACAAACGTTATTGCAAAATCATAATGACTAGATTATAACATATTTTTACCACAATTCCCCCCTCAAGATGCTTTCTAACTCTAATCTTAATAATTTTCAGCTATGGCTAACTTCTGATAATGCACAAACATCTCTTGGTTGACGACTGACTGTGCTGTTCGTGTCACAAGAGCCATGATGCAGGGTATAATACAGGGAAGCAAACAAAGTATTAATATTAGCAGACAAAAGATTAAGAACGCTCCCCTTAACCATCCAAAATTAGGGAGCCAGGATGTAAACCAATCAAAATTCCACCCGTTTTATGTTTGGACTGGGACATGTGTTATCTCCTGTATTTTATCCGCTAAGGCCTTTATCAATTCACCATTAGTGTTGATATTGACACAACAGTTTGACAAGTTTAGCTTTTTATACACCCCTCCTTCACTTGCAGGTAAATAATCAAGAGCTAAGCGATTTTGCAGTTGTACTGAGCCTTATTGAGGGTTGCAAGCTCGTTTTGAGAACAAGTACAACAGGTGGACATAACCTTTGGGTTTGATATATCTAAAAGGGACAAGAGTTCCAACAAATAGATTAGGGTTCACATCTTTGCAAGCGTAACTTTAAATTTTCAGCAGGTTTACTTTTTCACGTGTTGGCTTTTTGTTCCCGGGTGTTATCAGCTTTCGGAGTGACCACACCCTGGGAGTTGGTGTCCTCCTGATGAAAAAGCTTCACTCTCGAGCAATGGGTCCACTTATCGCTGTTTGATAAGCGAACAGCTGTGTGTGTAGTCAGCAGCACCTGGTAGGGTCCCTCCCACCTTTCTGTGAGGGGATTCTTTCTCCACTTCTGTACCAGGACCTGGTCACCCGGTTTAAAGTTGTGGATCGGTGTGTCAAGCGGGAGGCTCTGGAAGGGTGCAGCAAACCTGTGTAGGGAAGACAAAACAGACTGCAAGGCGATAACGTGTTCCCAAATTTCAGATTTCCCCAAATCTACAGTAATCTGTT